GCTAAAAAAAGAAGATGAAGATGTTTTTTCTCATATTAGTCGTTATATTAATTTTTAGTTTATACAAAAAGTATAAACATTAATTCAAATTTTTTTATTCATGGATTATATAGTTCAACACGAATAAGACTACAAATTAAAAAATAATGTTATTTGAACTTAAAAATTAAATTTTATTTGTTAACTTGATTTGCTATGAGCTTTGAATGAATTGTGCGTCTCATCAAATATAAGAGCTTAGCGCCAGTTTGATAACTGTTTTTTAATGAAATTACGTCACCAAATTAATAAATAACATCAAATATTTAGACTTAAATAGCAATTCACAAAAATAAATAATCCGGTCGACACACGAGACAATTATTTAAAGTGGGTTGGTAACCATAACATTTTCCCATCCTATTTTTTCCCTCTCGTCTTACTTCCACCCCCTCTCCTTCTGTCCCTCTCTTTCTCTCCCCTCCCTTATGCTTCACTGACTTTATTATTCTCTGTTTTTTGAGTCCAATCACTCTCCCTCCATCCTTTGCAATCATGAGACTCTTCCTTATCAACTGATCTCAAGACTCATCTTCTGTTATTACCCATCATCACCACCATCCACAGGCCAAATCCATGTTGGTGTGAGAAGCTGGAACAATTAATCTAACCCTCAAAGGGCGTCCAGTGTGTGCGCGTGTATGATGGACTAACAGAAGCACAAGACAAGAGTGCCCTCCATGTGAAGCTTTTTTGATTGGATGCTAAAAGAAATATTCCATCTCTTTACCCGACACTAAAGCAACTCATGCTTATTCCTATTCCAATTCCAGCAGATGAAATGGAATCTCTTGACTTTTTTGATTGGATGCTCTACAAGTTCATTGAGATGATGAATTGGCTTTTCATCAATCTGATCCAGTCTTGAGTTTTGTCCATGGCTGGTAAAAGCACTCAAGACAAACCTTCTTCTTTTTCTTCTTCGTCTTCAACACCTCCATGGAAGTACGATGTCTTCCTGAATTTTCGAGGTGAAGATACACGCAAAAATTTCACCGATCATCTATACACTGCTTTGGTTCAGGCTGGTATTTACATCTTTAGGGATGATGACGAACTAGAACGAGGAAAAGAAATTTCATTGGAACTATTGAAAGCAATTCGAGGATCAAAAATTTCTATTATCATATTCTCAAAGAACTATGCTTCCTCTCGATGGTGCTTGGATGAGCTTGTGGAGATCCTTGAATGCAAAAAAGCAATAGGCCAGTTGGTTCTTCCTATATTTTACGATGTCGATCCATCTGATGTAAGTAAGCAAACGGGGAGTTTTGCAGAGGCGTTTGCGAGGCACGCAGAACGCTTTGTGGCTGAAATTGAGAAGGTGGGCAGATGGAGAGATGCACTTACTGAAGCTGGGAATTTATCAGGGTGGGATTTGCAAAATGTTGCAAATGGGTACGTAATCCATGCTAGCCTTCTTCAGTTCCTTGTGCACTTCATATCTCTATTTGTTGTTTCGGTTGTAGGGTTGTGCAGCCTCAGTTTATCAAATATTAAAAGACAATAATGACCAAAAAAAAACATTAAAAGATAATTTCTTAGAATTAATTTTTTTAAGTTTTGGTTTGGACCAGTCACATGTTTTTGAGTTTTAAAATCGATAAATCTAGTTCTAGTAAAGAAAAAATAGCATTCAATTTGCCGTGTTTTCCTGTTCGTTATTTCTCATTTCAACTTATCAATTTTTTTCTTATTTTACTGGTTGTTTGGATTAAACTTGCAGGCATGAAGCAAAGTTTATCCAAAAAATTGTTGAGGATGTTTTGTGTCAAGTGAAACATACATATCTAAATATCGCCAAGCATCCAGTTGGAATGGATTCTCGTGTCAATGACATAATTTTGTTATTAAACATGGCATCAATTGGAGTCCGCATAATTGGGATCTATGGCATGGGTGGAGTAGGCAAAACGACCCTTGCAAAAGCTGTCTATAATCGAATTTTTCAGCAGTTTGAAAGTGCTTGTTTTCTTGCAGATGTTAGAGACCTTTCAGGACAACAAAATGATCTTGTTCATTTACAAGAGCAACTTCTTTCAGAAATTCTGAAGAAAAAGAATCTAACGATTGGCAATATTCATAGAGGAATTCGGTTGATGAAAGAAAGACTTTGTTCTAAAAGAATTCTTATTGTCCTTGATGATGTGGATCACCTTAGCCAACTAAACTCATTAGCAGGGAATCATGATTGGTTTGGTTCAAGAACTAGGATTATAATCACAACTAGGGACGAGCATTTATTGAATCAAATTAATGTAGATGACAAATATGAGGCTAAGGAATTGATTTATAGTGAGGCTCTACAACTCTTCAGCTGGCATGCCTTCGGACAACCCACACCACTGGAAAATTATCTACAGCCGTCAAATGACGTACTAAAATACGCCGGAGGGCTTCCATTAGCTCTTGAAGTTTTGGGTTCATATTTGTCCAGAAGAACAATGCCAGAATGGATAAGTGCATGTGAGAAATTGAAACTTGTACCTCACAATGAAATTCTGCAAAAGCTTAGAATAAGCTTTGATGCACTAGATGATGATGAAGTAAAGGATATTTTCCTTGATATTACATGTTTTTTAGTCGGAATGGATAAAGAGTGTGCAATTAACATATTGGATGGTTGTGGTTTCTTCTCAGAAATTGGAATTAGTGTTCTCACTAGCAGATGTTTACTAAAAATTAATGAAGAAAATCAACTGAGGATGCATGATTTACTTCGAGATATGGGAAGAGAAATTATTCGTGAAGAATCTCCTAAAGAACCTGGAAAGCGCAGCAGACTTTGGTTTCATAAAGATGTATGTGATGTTCTGCAAAACCAAAAGGTAATCAAAAATTAATCATCTTTTATTCGATAAAGATACTTTTAGTTTGGAACATAATTATTTGGTTTAGATTTGTATATATGCTTTTGATATACTCACATATTCCTTGCATATGTCTGTAGGTTGCAAATTACTTATCAAATATGTTGTTTCTTTATTAAAATTAGGGAACAGAAGCAATTGAAGGTATCATCCTAGTCCTACCGGTCTTAAAAAACATAAATGTGCAGACTAAGACATTTGCAAGGATGGAGAAATTAAGACTGCTTCGAATGGATTATGTGAATCTTAATGGAAGCTTTGAACATCTATTTGGAGAGCTAAGGTGGCTGTGTTGGCAATACTGCCCCTTGAAATCTTTACCATCCAATTTTCATCTTGAAAATCTTATTGCCTTAGACATGCAACACAGTGACATCAAAAAGTTTGGGCCAGCTATCAAGGTACTGAATTGGTTTTTACAACATTGTTCTCTTTAATATTTGAGTAATTTGCATATTGTTCGTTTTACAATCTCATTTTGCTTCGATTTTTCAGTTTCTAAAAAATCTAGAAGTCCTCAACCTTAGTCACTCTAAATACCTTGAAGAAACCCCGGACTTCACTAGGGTATCAAGGCTGAAGACATTATTGCTTGAAGGTTGTTTACGTTTGTTTGAGATTCACCCATCAGTTGGACTTCTAAATAGACTGATTTGCTTGAGTGTCAAAGGTTGCACCAACCTTAGGGAACTCCCAAGCAGCATTTGCAATTTGATATCGCTTGAACATCTTAATGTTACTGGTTGCTCAAATCTACAAGAATTGCCTGAGCATTTGGGCAATGTGCAATGCCTTAGGGAGCTTCTTGCAGGAGGAACTGCTATTAAACAATTACCCTTATCCTGCGGACTTCTAAAGAACCTTACAACCTTATCACTACATGGAACTAATCAAAATTTGCCAACAAAATCTTGGCGTTCTCTCATTTCGTCTTGGGTATCACCACGAAGACATGCGGATCCCAACAGACTTCTACCACCTTCGATTGCAAGTTTATCTTCCTTAACAAGACTAAATCTTAGTGATTGCAACTTGTGTGAAGGAGATATTTCAGCTGATCTTGGGAGTTTATCCTCACTAAAAGAATTAGATTTAGAAAGGAATAGCTTTCGTAGCCTACCATCAAGCCTCTGTCACCTGTCCAAGCTACAAATTCTCAGCTTAGATAACTGTAAGAGTCTTCAATCACTCACAGAGCTTCCTATCAATCTACAGAGACTAGATGCCAGTGGTTGCACGTCAATGGAAAAACTACCAAATCTAACAAGCTGCAAAAGATTGGCATTCTTGCGTCTTCCAACTTGCAATAGATTATCTGAGATCCAAGGACTGGAGAACCTTGATTCTATGCGAGCAATTCACCTAGAAAGCTGCAAGAATTTGGCAAATGCATTTATGGACAGTGTTGTTAAGGTTGCTCTCTCTCTCTCTCTCTCTCTCTCTCTCTCTCTCTCTCTCTCTCTCTCTCTCATGTCAGTATTTCCATGCATCAGGGACAGTCTGAACATAATAGTTACAACGTTTTCCTTCCAAGTAAGGAGATTCCCGATTGGTTTAGCCATCAAAGAATGGGATCTTCAATATGTTTTGATATGCCATTACATTTGGGACATAAATTCTTAGGGATGACTCTTTGGGCTATTTATGCCTCAACCAATGAAGTAGGTGGCTTCACCACTGCTCCTTATGCTAATATCTATGATAAATGCAATGGTGGTGAATGGATCCTTTCGTCGACAATCTTTGGTATTCCAATAACCAAGGAAGAGCATTCATGGGTGAGCTTTGTACCACAAAGAATTTTGGATTTCCCAATGGAAGGTGGAGAAAGAATTGAAGTCTATGTCCAAATAGAGGAACCTATGGAGGTTAAAAAGTGTGGTATTCATCTGGTGTGCAAACCAAATCTTGAAGAACATAGTCCATGCATCGATGCATATGATGGCACACATCCAGTACTAGATTCTGCGCATACTAAGAGAAGCCTTGGCAGTGATGATGTTGAAACAAGCTGCAACTTGGAAGACAGACACAATAAAAAGTTGAGGATGTAGCCTGATTCAACATGAATTCAGATCCACATAGAGCTTGATGGGGAAAGATTGCTGCCGAAAGTTTTTGGAAGGTATGAGATTATAACTCAATCAATTTACTTAATTTAGTTATAATTTATTATCTAGTGAGATTACAATAAAATGAGTTCGTTTGGAATTCATTACTTTTTTTTTTTTAGCAATAACTTAATCTTTTGGATTGTAACTTGACCCAAATTACTTGTATCTAGTTTATAATTTGTAGTAACTTTCCATACAAGGTGCACGTATATATATGTACTAATATAATGTCAGCTATTTTTAAAAAATTTTATTTCTTATAAGCCAACTAAATCCTCAACTTCTTTTCATCTTCTTTTTAATATTATATTAATTACACACATGATCTTAATCAATATTTATCTATATCTATACTACTATAAATTTATATCCATACTACTATAAAATGTCATGGTATGAGAAAAACTTGTGATTGCCTGAATATCCCTATGGAATATCTAAATGTCATTTACATCCTTATGGTTAATATCCATGGCTGAGTCTATTCTGCCCGTTAGCATTCTCCACCTGTTTCTTCTGCTTTTGTTCTTTAACTCAGGTGGAATTCTGAAGCCTGCAAATGGACAAGCATCTGAGCAAGTATCTTGGTATGTGCCCAAACCTTTTACTTCTGAACAAGCACTGCTGGACAACATCAACCCTTCTGCTTCAGTTGCCGTGAAATTTACTACCAGCAAGAGGGAAGAGACTTTTGGAATTGTGACTTCACCAAGCTAGCCTTATTGTTAGACTGGCCCTAGCTATGGCAATTGCCAAAATGGATATGCTTTGTAGATACAAAAACCTACTAGCTAGGAGTTGTAATATATTTGATTTTTTGTTCTGTTCAATTGTTTAGAATTGCAAACTTTTTATGATATGGGAAGGCAATTGCAAGGTATGAGTATTCACATTAAGTTTTTCTTTTCATAGTTTTCCTGCTCCATGAACTTTAATTATGCATTAATAAACTCCGTCACTTTTTTTTTTTTAAACTATGGCCTCTTTCTTAATTACCCTTTGGCTAGTGTTGTAATGATTTTTGACAAATATCAGGAACAAGTTACAAAATCAGATGTCTTGAATTTGAATTTTGACATTCTCTTGAGTTGAGGTCATTCCTCATGAATATCCTGATTCCGGTGTGGATGATATGTCTTTGATCGGAATGGAGAGTGGATTAATCGAGATACGCGTAAGCTGACTCTTTGTGAATTTGAGTAGACCCATGAATTTCAATTGGAGCTAGGGTAGTGATGTAAAAGACTTTCCAATTTTGTATGGTCGCAATATATTTACGTTGCATTTGGTGAATTTTATCAGAGTTGTTGGAGTTATCTNACCTTTGACCGGAATGGAGAGTGGATTAATCAAGATACGCGTAAGCTGACTCTTTGTGAATTTGAGTAGATCCATGAATTTCGATTGGAGCTAGGGTAGTGATGTAAAAGACTTTCCAATTTTGTATGGTCGCAATATATTTACGTTGCATTTGGTGAATTTTATCAGAGTTGTTGGAGTTATCTAAGTTATTGAAGCTCCTAACAAGCAACTCATGGAAATTGTTGCATTGGGAGGATGAATTGTTGGAAAAGAATCAGGTGAATTAAACACAAAATTCAACTAATCTATTAAAAATAAAAAGAGCTAAAAACTCCAAATGTATCGTTTGATTTTACAAGGATGCATCATATAATCAATTGGTTTAAACAGTTGATTTAGCCAGTTAAAAAAAAAAAAAGAAACAAGCAAATGCCATAAAAAGGGTTGTTAGGTAAGAATGGAGAGATCTGGTTGAAAGGGTGTAAGAATTTTTTTTCTATTGGGACAGTCCGACAGTAACTTTTAGGTCCTCCACTCCACAACGAGTTGACTGCGGTACTGATAAATTTTTTTAATTAATTAGGNGTAAACAAGCAAATGCCATAAAAAGGGTTGTTATGTAAGAATGGAGAGATCTGGTTGAAAGGGTGTAAGAATTTTTTTTTCTATTGGGACAGTCCGATAGTAACTTTTAGATCCTCCACTCCACAACGAGTTGACTGCGGTACTGATAAATTTTTTTAATTAATTAGGCTAGAATCTCTAATTTGGTGTGTAAATTAGGTTCAATTCTAGTGAATTTTTAGTATATAAAAAAGTCTTATTTGCTTTTAAAAACTTTGAATGCTATCCCTATGTTGGTGAGGTTGGACAGTTATTGCATATTTACTATCTATTTTATTATAATCGCATGATTTCAACCTCAATTTGAGTCATTATAGTTACATCAGTATATGATACAGTGAAAGAAATAGCTAAGAAAGAGAGAAGAAACCAACTCTGGCAGCCATAGAATCAATGCTTCGAAGAAGCGAAGGAGGACTTCTCGAAGGTCTGTGTTGGGAAGCAGTACGAGGACATTCTAGTTTTGAGACAGAGGTCATCTGAATAAATTATCAATCTCTCTTGTTCTTTTGGGGTTGCTGCTTTCTTTTCTAGAATCGAAAGACATCGTGTATTGATATTTTAATAAGTATTGATTTTCATATCGTAATAAGTATTGATTTTCATNGATCCATATGTTGGTGAGGTTGGACAGTTATTGCATATTTACTATCAATTTTATTATAATCGCATGATTTCAACCTCAATTTGAGTCATTATAGTTACATCAGTATATGATACAGTGAAAGAAATACCTAAGAAAGAGAGAAGAAACCAACTCTGGCAGCCATAGAATCAACGATTCGAAGAAACGGAGGAGGACTTCTCGAAGGTTTGTGTTGGGAAGCAGTACGAGGACATTCTAGTTTTGAGACAGAGGTCATCTGAATAAATTACCAATCTCTCTTGTTCTTTTGGGGTCGCTGCTTTCTTTTCTAAAATCGAAAGACATCATGTATTGATATTTTAATAAGTATTGATTTTCATATCGTAATAAGTATTGATTTTCATATCGTTCTGGGTGAAACTTAAAATACCTAGTTAATTGGAATTTGTGACCAGAGTTATTTCATGTTTTCCTGCAAAAAAAAAAAAGTATATAATACGTTATAAAACTATATAAACTTGGATATTTTTATTACTACTTGTTTGACGATTTGTGTTTATAGAGAAGATTAGTGTACCTGTCTGACGATTAGTATTTATAGAAAAAAAAGGTACATTATGCTGACCTAACTTTCTAGAATAAATGTTTAAATTAAGTGATAACATTGTTGTTACTTTTTACTATTTTAAAAGACATTAGTGATGTCCATTGTTTTGACTTTTCAATAAGAACATAATCCAAAAGAAAATTGGAGAGTAAATTCTTTTTTGGAATCCTATTGGATCTAAGGACTGGCCTCTGAAAAACACAATTTTTTTTTTGGGTATTGTACCTTTAAAATTTAATACTTCAATGAGTGTTTTAATAATTATTATAGGTCATTTTAAAGCTAAAAAATTTATTATTTTTGTGGGTGATTTATAACTTTTGTGACTGTTTTTATTACTGTAGTGGTTGTTTTTTATCACTATTATAGTAATTATTTTTACCACTTTTTTATATAAAAAAATTAACATTTTTGTGTGGAATTATCACATTTATAATTATTTTTACCATTATTATGATTATTTTTATCATTGATATGGTAACTATGCTGACCATTTGTTTAAGTACCACAACAATGATAAAAGTAATCACATATGCAATAAATAGAGCTACGGTACCAAAATTTTTTTTTTGGGTACCATAAACAACTCCCCTCACAGCATGGTCGATGATATGTTGGAAGAGTGAATATTTAATGTAAAAGTGACACTATATCATCATCATCATCATGTGGTATCACCAATCAATTATGAATAAATAAGTCGAACAAATAAATTATATTAATTCTATATGATAGTTATTGAATGTGGAAGTTGACGGGCCCAACCGAGACTAAGGCCAGATTAGACATATAGATCAGAAGCAAATTACAGAAACAAATCAGACCTAAATTATAGATAGAAAACAACAAAAAACCCAATCACAATTGGTATATGGTCAAACCCATTTTCCAAAAAGGCTCAATCTATTATCAACGCACGTGAGCGTGTCCATTCGAAGAGAAGAAATCATGGGCACCCAATCAACAGAGACACATTGCTAGCGTCGCAAGATTACCTCTCATGTTACAAGGTAGATTGAGCTTCAAGGGATCACTTCTCTATAACGTCGCCCGTTACAAGGATAAGGCGAGACTCATGACATCACTTTATTCATTGTGAGGATAACACCCTAATCAAAGCCCTTTGGAGCTCACTTCGCTTGTCTATAAATTATGAGTCTTACCTACACATGGGGTGCATCACACACACCTCAGCACACTATACTTCTTAAGTAAAAAAATTCTCTGGCCACCGTCGTCATTCCTAGTGGAGTAGGTCAACCAGACCGAACTACCTAATCTTTATGTTTTCTTATGTTCTGCCATCTTTACTTTATCTTTGATCGATTTTACATAAACTCACTTTTGTACATTAGTAAAAGTTATTAATGGTTATAGAAATTTGTGGGATCCACTAGTACTATATGTTTATTTATTTATTATTTATGACAGCATGTGAAGGTTTACTTTGATTACTCCTTCGAATTCATCAGCTAGTCACCGTTACTTTGAGTTGGGTTAAAGCATGTTCTCGAAAAACAAGGGTGATTAGCAGTGTAAAAAAAAAATTGAACCTAGGACCTCTGAATTACTAAAGATCAGGTTCAACCATTAGACAACTCTTAAGGGTTTTATAAGTTTATTTATGATTAATTTGTGACACTATATCACGGTGATTACGTGATATCACCATTATATAGAATATTTTCTCTAGTTGGAGAGTCAGCCGATACCTTGTATTCCATACCGCAAATCCGTTATTTCGTTTCCCTTGAATATTTCAAATTGAGGTAGCCAAGCAAAGTTTCCTAACAGAGTTGGAGGGGCTTTATTCTTCCAGGAAGTGCAGAGTAACCTACCAAATTACCAAGAAAGTGTTTACCAAGGAATATAACATTTCCTTAAAATAAAGGAAGAATCGCACTTTGCATGCCGAATGATTTTAAAATTTTCATTGTGCACCCTCAAAACTTAATTTACTCATAATACACTCTCAATTTCATTAAATGATTACAATATTACTTTATACTAACTTCCGTTGTTTTCGTCAAATCTTCCTCCACGCTACGAACATAAATTTGGCAAAACAAACACTAAAATTAGTGAGAGTTACATTGCAATTGTATGATAGAGTGCTCATTAAAAATACTTCTTGTTAAGAAAGATAACGAGGAGAGAGAGAGCAATATAATGTTATAACCATGATTTTCACAATTCTCAACTTTTTATTAAATAATTGAAACATACACTCTCAAAAAAACATTAGAGGATACTATATATAAAGGGAAATACTATGTCGTCTAAATTTATAACTCAAATTTAAATCTCAAATGAAGGGATATCATTAGATGAGTGAATCTCATCAATTTTTTTAAATGAAACTCACTGATCCAATGATCTTTTCATGTGGAATACAAATTTAAATTATAAATTTAAATTACATAACATTGCCCATATAAATGGTCTGCTTCCAAGAAGCCTAGTAGTGGGACCTTTCACCGGTCATTAATTCAATAATTTAATATTCTTATTCAGTCTCCAATCTATAAATATTAAATCCCAGAGTTACTCATAGTTGATCTTGGCACCACTTATATAATAAGCAATAATTCATGAAAC